AAGGGGGTTGCTTGGTGAACAAGGGTTTGGTCCCCCCTCCCCCTTTATATGGTCCTCACCTACTTTTGCCCTCCATGTGACACTTAGAGCTTGTTGATTGCTTTGCATTTTAATTTGTTTTTGATTCAAATAATTTGGTGGGAAAATGCAATTCTCCCACATTGATGGGAGAAGGGGAGATCAAGGCTCCCTTCTCTATAAATACCCAAGTTTTGGGTTTGGGAAAAATCACTTGAGTTGAACTCAATAAGGCATCTCCCTATAGGTGAGAAAACCTTTAAGGTCGTAATACTCAAGTCTTTTCTTGGTTTAGCCCCGATTAACCTTCAGGGTAGAGGCCGTTCGGGTTGGGTCTCGAGGGTGGACTCTGTCAGAGGCTCTCGCGCTTGCGAAGCTAAGGCTTTGAAGTCCGAGCTCTATAGGAGCGAAGCACGCGTCGAGGGTAAGAATGTCATTTGCCTTTCTCTTTCTTTTGTTGTTTAATTATGTGATTGCATGCTTAGTTACTTTAATTAGTGGGCGGTTCTTGGGCGGGTTTCTCTTCCGCATAGTGTTGGACGCTACGAAACCCAACATTGCTTACATCCGACTTATTTTTGCAGAAGAAGCAATGGAGCATGTGTCCACAAAGAAGACAGCCAACAACTCTACGGCCACCTACCCTTGATTAACAAGCAGAAAGTCGAGGATTTCAAGGACCAGTTGGCTCATGTAACATCCTTCACCTTTGAATTATTTTCATTTAGTATACAAGCGACCTCTACCGCCTGAAATTAACATGTCTTGATTCCCATTTTATAGGAGGGGCAAAACAGATCGCCTGTGCCTCCTCATTCTAGCCAGAAGCCTCAGAAGCACCCTGCTGTAGATGACCGGACGCCTTCTAAGTCGAGGAAATATGTGGCACATCGGACTCCTTCATCCATTAAATCTTGGGACAACTCTCACCCTTCCACAGCCAGAAAATCTCACGCCTTTTTAGAGACTAATGAAGTCGGACACCTACAAGGCGTCAAAGAGTGGCGTGCCACTCACCACTGCTACCAGCTCAACAGCAGGAGGGAACCGGGACAAGCGTCTAAAAGGCCGGGAAATTGCTGACACTCAAGGTATCACCGCCTTTTTGCCTCTGCCTTACCCTCGTAGGGTCAAGTCTTACCAACAAACGGCCAGCAGCTTAGAAGACTCTCGATCTGTGGATCGGGCTTATGTCAACTACTTACAAAGTTTTGAATGTGAAAATGTTAGGGAAAGGAAGGATGTGCATCATTTCGCCAAGAACATGCTGAAGGCCGTCTCCCTAGCTGAGAAGGCGTCTGTGAGGGGGGTTGGTACCCTTAACTTCAAAGCCATCACTGCTCTGCTTGCCGAGGTAAACTAACTTAAGTTAAAATTTTCTAACTCTTTATGTCGAATGGTATTAACAAATTGTCTTTGTTGGATGCAGGCTACGCTAAAAAGTCGTTTGACGACAAACAAAAAGAGGTAAATAGCGCACAAGAGCGGGCCCTAGCTGCTGTTGATAGAGCTCAATGTAAGACCACAAAAAATGATATTTGGACTCATGATGTCCTGTATACAAAGGCGGAGGGCAATTTGTAGGTCCGAGCCCAACTGGATGCGGCCAACAAGAAAGTGGCCGACTTAGAGGCTCAACTAAAAACAGCTAAGGCCAACCTCAAAGCCTTGGAGAATGCTGATCATGAGGTCGAGGGTCTCCGCAATCAAAATGCGACTCTGAGGCAAAGACTAGCCAACAAAGACATCCGGGTGGGGCAGAGCTTAAAGCCAAAACCGAAGAGGAGAAGGCAGAGTTGATCTTTAAGAATGAGGTCGACTGTGTAACCCTCATGAAGATGGAATGGCATGCTCTATTCCCAAATGACAATTACTATTTGGGAGTATCGTTACTTGAAGGCCACTAATGAGCTTGACCACTAACTACTCAGCTAGAGGAGGAGGAGGAGGAGGCTAAGGACGAGCAGACGGCTGAGAATAAGGAGGATGAGCATAACGAGGAACATCAGGCCAATGATAGTAGAGAGCCGAATGTTAATGATGCGGATGTCCCTCCAGAAAATTAAGCTTTTAATGTATCTAATTTAGCCGAATGGCCTAATACTTTGCTTTTCCGGCCTACGTGCCGAGTATATTTGTATCTTACCGACCGTATGGTCGGGTTTAACAATATTTCTACCTGTTGCAACACTGGTTTAACAATCAAACTCCTTGCCGACTGTAGTGTCGATTTTAGTTTTAGATTGTTCAAGTTTTTCAAGTTTTTAAATTTTTTGAATTTTTTGAATTTTTTGCTATGCATGAATTTGGCTTAGTAATTCACTTGCCATATACATGCGATCTTCAGTGCACCGGATGTTCTTGACCCCTGGACGGCTGTTTAGTTGGTTTAAAAAGTGGGTTAATTAACTTAGAAATTTTTTATACTTGAAAGCATATGACTAACTTCTGAGTCAATTAATCACTATGGTGATTGCTCCAAACAAATTGGACAGTCGTCCATCGAGTAGACGGTAAACATTTCATCATTCAGATGGTCCTTGGCCTCATCCGACCCATAGGGCAAGCGGTTGCCCAAGGCCGCTTGTATAATAAGATAACAAGTGCAGACGGTTTTGTACCGCTAAACTTGATATATTAACGTTCTCATTGAGAAGGCCAAACGGTCTCGAGGCCGTCTGCGTTATGTCTGCATAACTTAGAACTTCGATAAGTTTAGAATTAGAACTCAATTTATTCTCAAGGACTCTCGGTTAGGAGCCGCTTGACTTAGGTAGTTTACTCAATTGAGAAACTTAACCAAGTTTTAATAACAAAATCAAAGCGTTATCCTAAACATGATACTATCAATCAAAAATCAACATCTTAATCTTGATACTAGAAATCAAAATAACATCCTAAACATGGTTTCTACTCTAAAATCCAAAGAGTAATTAAGTAGTTGAATTACTTACTTTGATGCCTTGACTTTATTGCCATTAAAACAACACATGCGTTAGTAAACTTCAAGAAAATCAAATTAATAAAGTAAATAAATCAAATATAGATTTGGGACCAAACCCTCCGAATTATCAACCTTTCATGTCGAGGTCGAAAGCAACGTCGAGGATGGCTTGGAGTATTCGAATTTTGCAAAGGAGGTATTGTGAATGATTTAGGTGTATCAAGGATGTGTTTATGCTAAGGCTATAAACATGGGGATCAAGAAAGAGAATTAATGATTATGATGATTGTTGGTAATTTTTGGTTAATGAGCCTTGTTGCTGATCTGAAAACAGGGAAAACGACCTCTATTTATAGGGGAAAAAACAGAGTCGAAGCGATCAGAAAAGATCACAGTTTGGAACGAAATAAAACAGCTTTTGACGCGATGCGACAAAACTGTCGCGACACGTTTGACTTTGTCTCGACGCGATGGTGCTGACGTGGCACGTTGGTTGCTGACATGGCGCAGTGATTTAAAAAGATAAAAAGGCCATACGAAGTTTGATTTCTGATGGAAAACATATCCGAACATCTTTTAATTCAAATAAGATTAGGATTATCAAAAAGAGAAGTTTCATTCAATTTCAAACTCTTTTGATTTTTATCTTTTCGAAAGGGATACATAGAACCTTCCAGAAGCCTCTAAAAGAATCCTAATTGATTTAGGATTGGGAATATGGTATTTGGACCCTCACATAATCATTGGGTTGTAGGTAAGGTGGGTTTAGGCTCGGTTTGGGCTCGGTTTAGTATTTTGATCATAACTTATTCGTTTTAAGTCGGATTTGGGCTTATAATATATCGTTGGAAAGATCCTTTCAAGCCCCATCCAACTAAACAATGTTTGGACTTGGATCATGGACCAAAATAATAAGTTTTGGACGTTTTTATGAGTTGGACACGAAATAAATGATTTTGGGTTTAAATACACGAAATGAATGATTTTGGTTTAAAACATTTTAGATAAGGTTAGGTATATAGTCAAGGCTTAAGGAAACTTTGCGAGACTCTTCAACTCTTTACTGAACTTGTAAATCAAAACGTGAAAGGTGCTCATCACTAGGTTTGGTTTTTGGGGAGACACTATCAGGTGTCTATAAAATCTCCCACTTTGACTGAGTTTGGAGAAACGTAAAGCGCAAGTCAAAGTAAGTCAATAGGGACAGAGAATGATTTAGAACGTTCTGCGATCCTAAATCATTCTTTTTAACGCCGGTACCTGCAGAAAATGTCGGTTCTACAAATAAAGGAATTAAGGGGAAAGAAACGCGTATCTAGGTTTGCCGATCACACGTCTCTGAGTGATATCTTGTAGAATCAAAGTTGTTTTGTTTGGAAACCTCCACATTCTCCGGGAGCGTTATCGATCTGAAATGTGTCCACGCGTCTCTGAACAAGAGCTTACCCAAGGAATGTTCACTCGTCTCTGAACAAGAGCTTACTCAGGAATGTTCACTCGTTTCTGAAAAGGAGCTGAACGTTCACACGTCTCTAAACAAAAGAGCTTTTAAAAGGATGAAATGTCCACTCGCCTTTAAACAAAAGAGCTTTGAATGGGATGCCCACACGTCTCTGAGCAAAAGAGCTTTGCAAGATAAATGGTGAGAGTGTTCGATTGGCTGTGAACAGAAGCCTCCACTAGATGTTTTTATATGATTAAAACGTAGCACAAAATATATTTACAACTAAAAATCTAAGCAAACCTTTAACAGGTCGCATCTCAACTAAAGGATGTCCCAAACTATACAGGTCACTATACAACTACACAAAGACCCTGTTTGGTCTAATATATAATATTTTTATGGAAAACAATTTTTCCATTTTTTTTTTTACATTTTCCTTTGTTTGGTTTGTGAAGGGGTGGAAAACAAGTTTCCTAAGGGTGGAAAATTGCATTAATCTCAATTTCATTAACTTAATTAAAAAAAAAAAAAAAAACTCACTTTCATTAACTTTTCATGATACTATTTCAATCCATTCACATCACGCCACGAACTACCATTCCAAAATTAAACTTCCATCGACACGCAATCTCCTAAAATCAAGAGCATATATTTCTCCGTTTTTCCCAAGTCTTCACTAGAACAGCCCAAAACGCTTGCATCACTTTCATAATTACACATTTCTCAACTGATATCGCATTTCTCCTCTTTTTCTCTCTCCATTTTACACAATTTTTCCCTGTAAGTTTCTTCCCTCTTTCAATCAATTCATCATTCTTGTTAATTAAACTTGTATGTCTCGGATTTTCGATCATTTTTGTTGCTGACTTGCTTTATCTTGAATTCTATTGATTTTTTGTGTTTTAATTGATGATTTTGCTGTTTTTCTTTAGTTTTTAGTTGTATTTGAGTTTGATGTTATGAATTTGATCATATATTGTGACTTAGGGTTTCGGTTTTTTTCAATTTGATGTTGAAATTGTAATTTTGTTTTCATTACTTTTTTTATTTTTTATTTTTTTCTTTTGTATTTTAGAGGAGAGAAATTGTAATTCGTGATTTCTTGAATTGTATGCTTATTAGGAGATTTTGATTGTGATTTCAATTTACAATGATCTATTTTATGGAGTTGACTAAAATTTGGGAGAAGTGTTGCGACTTTTGAACGCTTACATTTTAGTCTGGATTTTTGGACTTACTATGATGGTAGACTGTACTTGCTTTTGAGTAATTAACATCTTGGTGCAACTTGCTGTTGACTTATCTGATTGAGTGATAGATGCATGAATCTTATTGAGTATGATAGGTGATGTAAATTGTACATTTGTGTGCAGTCGCGTAATTAGTGGCGTTAATTTTAGCGAATAATTCCTATTAAGTTTTAACTATGAGGTCATGTAAGATGTTACAGATGTTAGATAAAATGGTTGAAACATGCTGATAACTTGGTGGCTGCATGTTGTGGGAAGCAAGCCCTCGGCCAAAACATATGTGAAGTAGTTTTCTTATGTATTGTGTGTGTTGTGATTTGCAGGATGGGAACCGCTTTTAAGAACATGCTTTCCACTTTTTTCCTTGTGCTCCTTTTGTCACCCTTGGTAATGTCTGCATCAAATGATGGCTTGGTTCGGATTGGTTTGAAGAAGAAGAAGTTTGACCAGGTCAATCGTTTAACTACTAAGGCTGAAGAGTCAATGAAGATGCCTATGACGAGGTATGGTCTTTCCAATAATCTGGCCGGCAATGGTGATGCGGATATTGTCCCTCTGAAGAACTATTTGGATGCTCAATACTTTGGTGAGATTGGTATTGGTACTCCTCCACAGAAATTCACTGTCATATTTGACACAGGAAGTTCTAACCTTTGGGTCCCTTCTTCCAAATGTTATTTTTCTGTAAGTGTCATTTATTTATTTATTTTTTTTTAAGTTCAAAGAATTGTGAATAGATAGTGTTTGTCATTAATTTATTCGTATCTTATTATTCCACAGATTGCCTGCCTTCTCCATTCTAAGTACAATGCCAGGAAATCAAGTTCATACTGTAAAAATGGTTTGTCTTGCTTCTTGTCATTTTTTTCGTGACAACAAATAATTGTTTTTGTTTCTTTTCCTTCGTTTTCTTCCCCACTTTCAAAGTTTCAAGTTCCTACACGGGAAAGGATATGTTAATGTATTTAATTTTTGAACTTCATGCCTTAGCGGTTAAACTAAACATTTTCAATGAAGTTCACTAAACATCAAGTGAGCTGTGAGGCAATTCATTTCTAAATATTGTTAACAATTTTAGATGGCTGGAATGTTGATGGAAATTTAATAAACATGGATGTAAACCTGTCATGTTTTTGCTATGATGTGTTATATTAGTCACTTGACTTGAAAAGATGGGATGTAATTGATGGTTTATTTGGCAAAATAAATTCTCGTACTTTGTGAAGAGAGAATTGGAGTTGCTGGTGCTAGCATTCTATTTCTGTCTCCCTTTGTCTCTAATAAAAAAAATGTTGTTACATAAGCTGCTGCTGTTGAAGCCGTCAACTTGTTAACTATTAATTGTCCTACATTGTTTTGACTGGGACTTTTCGTGCATGGGCTAGGCTTGTTTGTTGCTTCACAATTGTTTTGGATTATGTGCATGCCTAAGTGAAATAGGCACTCTCCGAAATATGTTGTTGCTTTTGAGTTTACTGTGTGGGTCTGTTGTTTTTGCTTGCATTGGTATTTTGTGTCTGTATTCCTGATCTTGACACTTGATACAGGGAAGAAGGCTGAGATCCATTATGGTACTGGAGCCATTTCAGGGTACTTTAGTACAGATCATGTTACCTTGGGAGATCTTGTGGTCGAGAATCAAGTAAGTTTAGCTAGAGGATTTTTTTTTATACATTTTTCTATTGTCGTTCAGCTATTCACCTTTTTTTTTTTGTCTGTTGACAGGATTTTATTGAAGCAACAAGAGAGCCTAGTCTCACATTTGTCGCTGCTAAGTTTGATGGTATACTTGGGCTTGGGTTCCAAGAAATATCTGTTGGCAAAGCTGTTCCAGTCTGGTATGATAGTTATTGACTATTCTTTTTGGACATTTGGTTTCAAATAAGATATTTCTGACTTATTTTTGTATTGAAAATTTGGTTTCAAATAATAAAATAAAATAAAATAAAAAACCTCATGATAAAAGTTCTTAGGCATAGTATCTGTAGCCCAGTGTTTTATCCCCTAATGGTACTGTAAATTTCTTTATCTATTTTTACTAGGTTTTCCCTTGACCGAGTGCTTTGTCTTTACCTAGGTACAATATGGTGAACCAGGGTCTTGTAAAGGAACCCGTGTTTTCCTTCTGGCTGAACCGAAACACTGATGAGGAAGAGGGGGGTGAAATTGTTTTTGGTGGGGTTGATCCTAACCATTACATTGGGAAACACACATGGGTTCCTGTGTCTCAGAAAGGCTACTGGCAGGTTGCTATTCTCAGAATTTGTTAGCGTCACAATAACTAATTTTTATCTCTTTATATGCTCTGATTTTTTTAAGCATGAACATTTAACATTGCAGTTTGATATGGATGATGTGTTGGTTGCTGGCGAGACAACTGGTAATTTATAGCTGTTGAAGTTCTTGACATCTTATTTTGCAATTATATCATGCTGTATTCTAAATGCTGTTTTAAATGGTCACCTTTTCAGGCTTTTGTGCTGATGGTTGTTCTGCAATTGCTGATTCTGGGACATCTTTGTTGGCTGGCCCAATGGTATATCTTTTTCATTCCCAAATATGCTTTATCTATTCAAATATGACCATGAGATTCACTTGATCAAGTTTGCTTGTAGTTCTTCTAGAGGACATCTTGGTCTATCTCCATTGACCTCCCTCTTTTGTTTTAGTGCATAACATGCCATCTTATTTGTGATGATGAAATGTTGTCCTTTCATTGCAGTTTTAATAGTCAAATTTAAACCCCCAAAAAAGGTACTCCCGAGTGCATAATATTATTTTGGAAAGTAGAGGTATTTTATTTGGGAAAAGTAAATACATTAATAATGACATCTAATGAAGCTTTAGATATAAGGGTATTTTATATGGAAAAGGTGACATGACATGAGCCACAATGTTTGAGAGTAGTAGTAGGATGGGTGACCTCCTTAAAGTCCTGTTGGTTCATGTTGCCGACCCCACTTATGGGATTAAGGCTTTCGAGCAAGCAAGGGTAGAGAAAGTTGTGTATTATGGTGATTATGTTAAATAAAAAAAGAAAAATTACAGCACAACAATTTGGGACACCCAAAATGAAATGTTAGGCACTATATTTTGGGACAGAGTATATAATATCTATGATCGAAGTTACTTGAAAACTAAGTTATTAACAAAAAAAATATAGTTTGGGTTGTGTCATTATTGGTCATTCATTTACCCCCTAATGTTAGCAATAGGTTACCCTGTCCCCTCTTAGAGTAACATTTTACTCATAACTACAGCAATATGTTCCACCACCTAGTCTAACATATAAATTCCACATCCAAATACTCACCTTCTAGTTTTCCTAGCCACTAATAATAATTGCTTCTTATTGTATCTTTTTTTTTTTTTTTTTTTTTTTTTTTTTTTTTTTTTTTTTTGGTTTTGGAAAAAGTTGAGAAAATGTTGTATCATGTTGATTATCACGTGTAACAATAAACTTGTCCAATTATATCTTTAGTTATCTATTAGTAAAAATTTATAGGGAAATTTTCTTTGATAAAACCTAACTTTTTATTATTCTCTTTGGTGAATTGGAAATAAAGTTATTATCTTTGGTAATTATGAATTATTTATTCTAAGTTAATTATAACAATAATGATAAATATTTAACTATAGTTAGTTTTTTTTTTTTTTTTAATTTTATTATTATTATTATTATTTTTTTTTTTAACATTTGAAGTATTATAGAGATGAATTTTTTTTGTTAAAAAAAAATTCACCCCCTCCCCCCAGCAACCTCTCCCACGCCCCCTCCCTCACTGGCCAGCCCGCCCCTCCCCCTTGAAACCCACAACTTGACCTTGAAGCTCCGATGCTCTCTTAGCCTTTAGTGACTCGATCTCAGCTTGCAATTCACCAATTTTAGCCTTCGATTTTGAATTCTCTCTCCAGATCGGATATCTCCTTTTCCAAAGCTTTGGTTTCTATGGTTATTGAAAGCAGTGAGGGAAAGAGGAGGGGTGGGGGAAAGAGGGGGTGGGGGGGGTGGGATGTCGGGGTGGGGAGAGGGAGGGGCTGGGGGGCTGTCGGGTGGCTGGGGTCTCCAGGCGGGGCAGGAGGGAGGGGGGTTGTCGGTAAAGGAGGGGGAAGGGAGTGGTTGGCTGGTGGTGGGGGGGGGGATGGTTTAATATTTAAAATAAAAATATTCAAATGTTAATAAACTAACCATGGTTAAGGATTTTGATTAAAATACTTATAATCTTTGGTAATCAATATTACAAGATTACCAAAAATTATAATTATTTCTCCAATTCACCAAAGAAAAATAAAAGGTTGGATGTTACGGAAGAGAATTTCCCAAAATTTGTAATATGTTAGTATTGAACATGTACATTGGGACTGAAGTAACACAGTTTTACACAGTAATATGTGTTTTCAGTGTATTGTTATTTTTTTTTTCCATGTATCATTTTTCTTTTTCTTATTGGGTGGGAAGAGGAGGGTGTATACGAAGGTTCTGCAGAGCATATTAGTTTTCATTCAGCAACTAAGTACCCATTTATATACAAAATAATCTTCTATTTAATGGAGGAAAATGAAGAAAGAAGTGTGTAGAAGGAAGAAAAAGGTCATTGACGGCTGTAAATGACCCTAACCTAATTTTTAAAACAAAATGGTGGACACCCCCTTTTTATCTTTTCTTTTTATTATTATTTTATCTTTAGTGCCTAGTTTTTACTCCATTGTACAGCTGTTTATCTTTTCTTTTTATTATTATTTTATTTTTAGTGCCTAGTTTTTGTAATGTATTGATAGTAGTGTTCTATATAACTTTTTTATTTACTTTTTGGTTAACAGCTGATTACGGAGTACTTTCCAATTAAAGTCTAATAAATTTAAAAGTCTAATAAAAAAAGAAAATTCTAATAAAAAAATTTCGAGAACTAGAGCCATACGTTCCGGGAACTCTTTAGCCTACGTTCCCCGTTCTCGTTCCCGTCCCACGTTCCAAAATGTCCCACGTACTGTGTAACGTTGAAACTACCCTTTTTTTACAAGAATTTGGATCAAAAGGTCATTGATGAAGGAATTGTTTATGACTACACATCATAAACGCTCAGCATTTGCTGTTAAGACTTCGACTGAAACTTCTTGTGCCTCAGAGAAGTATTTTTATTGCAGTCTACCACTTTTCTCCAACTTTTTGTACAAAGAATTTCAATATATCTTACCTCATTGCCTGTTCTCTTCTACTTTTCTCTTCTACCAACTAGATGAGAGATAGCTTCTACACAATAAGTAATCTCTTTTTCCATAGATTTCTGGTTATCTTTTCATATTTAATGATGAATTTTTCGCTTGGTGTGTCAAATGTAATCCAGTGCAGTCTCTGATACACAAATAAGTATTCTCTTTTTCCATAGATTTCTGGTTATCCTCTCATATGCAATGATGAATCTTTTGTTGTTGTCTCAACCAATGCAGTTGCTGAACTTTAGAGAATTTTGCTGTCACAATCAATGACTTTGTTCTTTTGTAGTTGGTGAAGTAATTGCCGTTGTAGTTTTCATGTGTTTTTACCCTAATTTTTTTTTTATATTTTTTTATTTCATCCATGTTATCTTTCATGAAATGTTCCCCTTAATTTGCATATGGTAACATACAATTATAGCAACATGGGTTCTGACTCTGTTTTGATACACTTATTTTTGCCATAAATCAGGCTGTGGTTGCTCAAATTAATCATGCAATTGGTGCCGCTGGGGTAGTTAGTGTGGAATGCAAGACAGTGGTTGAACAATACGGAAAACAGATTCTGGAGTTGCTATTATCAGAGGTATGCCATTGTACTGTTCTTTATAGATGCTAATGTTTGTGTATAGTTGTTATCTATATTTTGGCGAATATAACTCTATTAATTTCCAATAAGTTGATGCCTTTTCATCTCAATAATACAGACTCAACCAAAAAGAGTGTGTTCCAAAATTGGTTTATGTAACTTCGATGGCAAGCGAGACGTTAGGTCAGTTCTTTCTGCTCCACCCCCTCCCATTCTTTGGTGAATAGATGAACAGCTATTTGGTGTTATTTTATAATTAATTCACATCTCTCTTTTTGTTAACCTGTTTGTGTTTGTGAGATTTATTACTGTTTTCCTCTCTGCAGTATGGGCATTGAAAGTGTGGTTGATGTCAATGTGGACAAGTCTTCTGGCGGTCTTCATGATGCCATGTGCGGTGCTTGTGAAATGGCTGTAGTATGGATGCAAAATCAACTAAAACAAAATCAGACTGAAGAACTAATTTTGGATTATGCCAATCAGGTAAAGTAGCTTAAAGCCTATGATTGGTTCAAATGGTTCAAATTCATCTCGTGTGCTTAGGCATGTACTTCATTGCAGCTTTGCGATCGCCTTCCTAGTCCAATGGGGGAATCTGCTGTTGATTGTAGCAATCTATCGACTATGCCATCTGTTTCATTCACTATTGCTGGAAAAACATTTGATCTCAGTCCTGAGGAGGTATTTTATGATTTCTATTCTCTTCACTTGATAAATATCATATATTCAATTTCTGGTATACTTGGGTAAGAATAGTGTATGTAAACATAGCGGACAATTCAGCCGATATGAATATGCCCTAGTTTGCGAAAAAAGTCTTCAGTTTTTTTTAAGGTTTGCAGATGTGATAACTTTTTTTGCTATTGTCACTTCCCAGACTAAGGGAATGTAAAAATAAATGTGAGTTTACCATTTGACAAGGTTGATTTTGCTAACTATATTCTGGTAAAGTAGATTTTAGTAGTCATATGGCTAAAACATGTTCTAAATTCGTGATAATTTTGAAAGATATATGCAGAATCCTGAAACTTATATTTTGTGATTGAGGCATCTTTTCTGAATTTGACTCTAAATGTTTGAAAATACTTGACAGTACATCCTGAAAGTGGGTGAGGGAGCTGCAGCACAATGCATCAGTGGATTCACTGCTTTAGATGTGCCCCCACCTCGTGGACCTCTCTGGTATTTTCTTTTTACCCTTTTTGACTAACTGATTCTAAGTTATGTCTCTTTATTGTTGTTGCTTATGGTTAGTATCAAGGCCACATTCTTTCTTTTTTGACAAATCAGTTGTAGATCTAGTGATTTCAGGATTTGTTTCAGTAGGTTAAATTCAAGACTAGGTTTAGTTCAAGTTAAATTAGTCTAGATTCTTTATGTATTAGTTCAGGTAGATATGACAAGTTAAGATTAGCTCACTTTAGAGTTGACGTAAAGTTCTGATAAGCATACATAAGTTCAGTTCAGTGCTAAAACTGCTAATTAAATGTGTGTAGTTCAGAGCTCCAATGAGTTCAATTGAGATAAATTTAAGAATTTCCAGGCGAAAAATAGTAGAGGCATTATGTTTCACCTTTTCATAGCTATTGAATCTTGCTTATGCTCTTCATGCATGGATGTGTAAATTAATACCACACCATCTTAAAGACTTGAAAGGAGAGTATTGTAGTGAATGGTATCTGTTTATTTAACGTTTCCTGTATTGTCAATGTCCAAATTTAACTTATGTCAACATAATGTATGCAGGATCTTGGGGGATATTTTCATGGGTCGATACCACACGGTGTTTGACTATGGAAACCTGAGAGTTGGATTTGCTGAAGCTGCTTAAAACCTTTTAGGATACAACTACACGTGTACAACTTCTAACCTTTTTATAGGGTCACATGTGGTGAAGTTCTGTGAATGTTTGCTAAATTGACGTTGCCTGTATATATCGAAGGATCACTGTAACTTTTAAATTCCAGAGATGGATGATGCCAGTACGAAATCAGACTAAAGAAACGATGATGACTCTTAGATCTTTCCGCTTTCTGCGTTAGATTCAGTGCTTGCCTAATACCAAATGATCTCTTGGTGTCTGGTTTTGTTAGTTGTCCATTAATCAGGGAAATAATCAAGTGGGTTAGTTTGCATAATTTGTACTTCAACTGTTTGTTAAATATTGCAATAATTCTCAAATCTCAAAATAGTTTCACATATATTGCATGCTCCCTTTTTAAGGAAATGCAATATCTTTCAAATGCAATTGCCGAATCAGTTGATTTGCATAGTATGTACTTGCACAATTATATCGTTATACAATTTTTTTTTTTTTTTTTTTTTATTGGTTGGCAAGGAGAAGGGGGCCCTATCGGGCCAAAACCTCTCATAGGTCCTCTCGGCCCGGATTAGTGGGCTAGGAACTTTGAAAGTGGGGGGAAGGGTAAGAGAATTTCCACCCCGTCTCTAGTGGGGTTTGATCCCACTACTCATGGTTGTGAGATGCAAACCTTATCACTAGACCAAGCTATGCTTGGTTGCTATACTGTTTTACATATCAACAACTACTTCTCAAACAATCTTTTACGATTATTTCAGTGTTACCATTTAAGGAAATTCAACTTCTCCTCTAGCTCTGCTGTATGATTCTAGCTCTATTGCTAGAATTCTTTTGTTGGATCGGCCCGTGTGTTTAATGGATGATTTTGTTTACTGGAAGTTTTACTAGGGATGGTGTTTTTTCAATAAAATCTGCATATGCTCTACTTTGTGAGCTTAGGGTCATGTCTGGTAGTCCATCTCAAATCTCTCCAGCGTGGTGGAGGAAGTTTTGGGCTTTACCAATTCTTCCTCTGTGGAAAATATTTGGTTGGAAAATGTTGCATGACGCTCTTTTTATGGCGGCTATTCTCAATTCTCGAGGCCTCCTAGTTGATCCAGTTTGTGCCTTTTGTCATGTGGATGTGGAATCTGTGTCTTATACATTTAGATATTGTCCTGCTATCTATAGTCTTTGGCTGTCTAGAGTGTTGGGCATTCAATGGGATCTTATGCAGTTTCCTCCGTCTAGTGTTTGGTTCTCGAGTACAATTTCTCATTTTTCGTCGTTGAGAAATTGGAAGGGTATTGCTTCGTTATTTGCTCTCCTTTGGGCGATTTGGATTTCTTGTAATCAACTTAAGTTTAGGAAAGCTGTTTGGTCACCTGGGTCAATTGTTGGTCTAGCGTCAGATTAGTTTCTTCGTAATATGCAGGCTCTAGATTGGCAGAGGTTTGCGAGGTTTTCTCGTTTGGTTCGTTTGGAGGCTAGGCAGGATGTCAAGTGGCTTTGTCTGCGAGGGTTACCTTATATTTCTCCAACGGCTTGTTTGATTGTAGATGGGACCTGGGATTGTTCTACTTACAGGTAAAGGTGGGCACGGGCCGGGCTGGCCTGCGGGCGGCTCGGCACGACTCGATTTTCGGCGGGGCACGGCATGGCTCGAGGTGGTGGCCCGGCACGGCACGGTGGCACGCCGGCAGCCCGTGGGCCGTATCACAGACAAGGGTCCTGCTTTTCCAGCACAGCACGACACGAGCCCGATGCCAAGCCCGCGTGCTGGCCCGCTAGGCACGGCCCGCCAGACACTGCCTGCGTGCCAACGGCTCTAAAACGGCTGTAATGCCGTTGCCCACTTGCCCCCCTTTGTTTCTAACGGCCATTAACGACTAGTTTTTCCCAAATTCCTATAAATACCAAATTTCATTCACTTCCCAAATCACAAATTCACAATCTCTTCTCTTAATCTCTTATATTCTCTAATAATCCTTAATCTCTTATATTCTCTAATAATTCTCTTAAATTCTCTAATTATTATTTCTTATAGTAGTTCGTAATCGTAATTAGTGGAAAACGTTGAAGCACGGTTGTAAGATCTAAACTAATCTTTAATTTATTATTGTTGTTATTGTTATTATTATAATTATTGTTACTAATTATAATTGTTGTTATTGTTATTGTTATAATTATTGTTATTAATTATTATTATTGTTATTATTGTTGTTAAAATTATTGTTATTAATTATTATTATTGTTAATTAGTTTTTATTAAAATTATTATTGTTAATTATGGCATCGAACAACCTATCATCTAGGGGGAAAACTCGACTTGTCCGTGGTAGTAGTTCTAGGGAATCACCTAATCCAACGAGCCCCCAAATTTCGAGTCCGTCCATTCCAACCAATGACCCTGGTAACGTTCCCCTAGGCTTTGACCAATTTAGGCACGATGGTACTTTCGGTTTTCAACCCTATAACATGAATAATATGCCCGAATTTCCACCACCAAACCAATTTCCACAATTCGGTCAATTCCCACCTAATTTCCTTGACCCACAAAATTTTTTATTCTAGCCAAGGTAGCCAACAAGATACCCTAAATGCCTTCGGTTCTACTACTAACCAACAAATCCCCGATTCTACAAACACCCAATTCCCAAACACACATGAGGAATGGTTAACCGAAAGTGAGATGGTACATATCAAAAGCCGCAAAAGTGAGGTATGGCATTATTTCCTCCTAAATAAAAACCAAACAAGAGCAAAATGTAGAACATGTGGTCAATCATACTCGGCACAATCCAAGTCTGGGACAGGACACTTAAGTAGACACATGAGAAGTTATGCAAAACCAGCTAGTGATCCAACCCAGCCAAAAATTTCCCAATTCCATCCATACGGCTTTACCTACAACTATGAGAGGGATAGGGATGAACTAGGGAAAATAATAGTACACGCCGAACAACCTTTTCTTTTCTCCGAAAGTGACCCATTTAACACTTACATTAACAAAGCATTACAACCCCAACATAAAAGAATCTCTAGAAAAACCGTTCGTTCCGCCGCCATGGAAAACTTCCTAGAGTACAAAATGCGGTTACAAGACGAATTGAGTAAACTTAATTGTAGAGTGTCTTTGACTGCCGATTCTTGGGATAGTGGTTATAAATATCACTATTTATGTGTGACTTACCATTGGGTAGATGATCAATGGTTATTACAAAAACGAATAATCCATTTCAAAATGCTGGAATACCCCCACCCCGGTATTAACATTGCTCGCCATTTAATGGAAGCGATAAATGAATACAACCTTCGAGAAAAAATCATGTCTGACATTTGACAATGCAACCTCAATGACATATACTGTTAATTATGTCAAATAAAACTTGACCGATGTAATATTAGATGGTGACGCACTTCATACTAGATGTGTTTGCCATGTTCTTAACTTGTGTGTACAGGATGAAATTAGAGCAATTGGTCCATACTACACCAAAAATAGAGATGCTATTTGTTTGGGGTAAAAAAACCCCCTATGCCACGTGGTCCAATACCATGCTGACACGTGGCAACCCTTCAAAGGGCCTTTGGGATCCAATCGAATGCTGACACGTGGCATTGTAACCCTAATAGGGGAGCAGATTTTCATCTGCTATAAATAGAGGAAACTCCTCATTTATTGGGGATTCAGAAATATTCAAAAAATACATACAAAAAAAAACCGAGCAATATTAATTGCGGAATCTCTATGAATTAGGGAGAAAAACTCATTTACTTTCCGCACTTTTACCCATCCAGAATCATACTAACTTGATCGTCGGAGGAGGAACTCCACCCAACCGGAGTTTCGTGGTTTTGCAGGTACGGACGTCAGGCGCGCATTCCCAGAATTGTAACTCTTCCGAGGGACTCCAAAAACCCCGAAACATTTGGCGCCGTTTGTGGGGATCGAACCCACGCCGTCTGTGGGGAGAGTACTTCTAAGATGGCATCTGACACTGTACCGCCTGTAGAGGGCAGCCGGCCTATGGTTGAACCTGAGATCCATACGGACCATGAAAGTGGTGAAGACTACGAGGTCGACACCTATGTGGCCCCCGACGGGTCATTTCGAACAAGGCGCACCCGTTCCAAAGAAAAGAAGGAACGAGGCCAAGACAAAGCTGGTCCTAGCAACCCAGGCGGCAAGCATGCTGGGCAACCCCAGGCGGCGGAGGGCACAACCCCCGACACCAGAGACGAGCTCATGAAATTCATGACGAGTTTCAAGGGGGAAATAAAAGATATAATCAAGAAGTCAACTGGCTCAAACAAGGGTCAGTCGGCAAAGAAGTCTTCTCCCTTCGGGAAGAAGCAGATTAAAGACCGGGTGCCTACTCCTCACCCCAAACCTAAGGGACGGATGGGCCCCTGATCGACCTATCAAAACTTCGTTTCCCTAAATCAGGGCAAAGGAAGGCCATTCAGCAAGTACAACCGGATGGGTCCAAAAAGACTTACTCTAACGCCCGGATGTTTATCCAGGAGAAGAGAAGTCAGCAAATGTCTGAGTCAGCCTCAACATCGACTTACCTAGATAGTTTTCGCAATACTTCAATGAAGCATTCGGAAACACGTTAAGGGAGTCAGTCATGCGGCATGTCCGCACGTACTGCCCTCATATCATCCAGTCGATTCCGTATGTGCCCCTACAACCATACATGTCGTATAGATCACCATACATGCAGCCGTCCCCCTTTGGGGGTCAGGCGACACATCAAGTCCAGCCTATGGACTGGCAGCTCCGGCTGCTCAACCTTGGCTGCTCAACCTTGGAGAACAGCCTTCGGCTTTCTCCCGGGAGATAACCGAGGCGGCACAGCCGGCCAAGGTTAAAAATGTGTTGGTTGGTACCTACAACGGTACCACCAACTCGGAAGATCACCTAATGAAAAACACCAACCTCATGTACCTACAGGGGATGGATGACGCCGCCTGGTGCCGATGCTTCCCGGCAACATTGAAGGGCATAGCCCAACGATGGTTTTGCAACCTGCCAGCCGGATGCATCAATAACTTCAAGACTCTTGCATACCTATTTGCGTCCAACTTCTCCATGAACATCCCTGCCAAAAAGACAAGTCTCGACCTAGGGGCTATTCAGCAGGGAGACAAGGAGGGACTACAGTCCTACGTCAGGCGGTTCAATCTGATGAGAATTCAGATTCAGGGGCTGTCTAACGAAGTTGCATACACAGACTTCTTCAAGGGTCTGAAGGATGGGTCGACTTTCAAGTTCGACCTAGTCCGCAAGAGGGTGGCTACCCTCCAAGAGGCTTTGATGGAAGCCGAAGCCTATATACAGGCGACGAAACTCTGTGCCATCAAGCACTTGTCGGAGCCAAGGAGGTCTGACAAGAAAGACAGTCGGCATGCCCAGCCGACCAAAAAAGAAGAGGGCAAGA